GAGCGGGCAGGCCGCCGCGCTCCCGCGGGCGCCAGAGACTCGCTCCCCGCCGCGCCCCTCGCACGCCCACCTTCCCCAAGGACGGAAAAGGGGAAGATGGCTCCGCGTGCAGGCAGATTTTATCCACGCTCTGTATAACTCTTACTTCTCAAATTAAAGCGAAATAGGAAACAAATTTGAATTTGATTCTGTATTACCTACGACTGCTACTCCAACACAGAACAGTCACCCTGCCTTTCGGTCAGCAAGTGTGGGCCCGAATGCCGGGATGCAGGAAGCCCCGGCAGTATCTCTCCGCTGTGCATAGGAAGCCCTTCTGTCACAGGCCCCATTTCCATTAGTGCTGCCAGAGCTGCGCTGAAGCACTGCTGCTACGCAATACAGCTGGACTAAGTCTTTCTCTGGGCAGATTTTTTTGTCTTTATCTATATATATTTCTCAATAGTATAATAGTTTTTTTAACCCTTTGGTAACAACCACGGTCAGGAATTTACTGTTTGACCTTTCCAGTACTCCGCGATCGACTGGAATTCTCTTTTTTATAGGCTCTCCTTTCTTTGTACAATTTAATAGCACCCACAGTACCACCTTGTCAGCACTTCCCTTCCTCTGTTTTTTAAGAATATCCAATTTGTTAAATATTTTGGCCATAAGAGAAATATATGAGAATTGCTCCCCTGTATTTAGTACACACTTAGCACAACCTCTCCACACAGGATCCAAACAATGTATTAATGTTATTGTTATTATGCATACTTTTATGTTAATTTTCAGCATGCTTATATGCTATGTTCTTACAGTTAGTTACTCTGAATGGACAATGATTTTTTTCTTTTCCTATCATAAGTGAAACAAAATGAAACAATCAAGAGATATCATCACTTGGCTTAAGGAAACCTGTTTCTCAGGGTTCTGGCAAGAGGTCTGCCTTTCTGGCAAGAGGTCTGCCTTTCTGGCAAGAGGTCTGCATGACCAGGCATGCCAGGTGACATACTGGGGGTGGGGGGAACCAAATAACAACTGAAAAACCAAACCCCCCTCAAACAAGCAAACAAAAAACCTAAAAACCTGCAAAGAAACCTACACAAAGGCATTTCTGAAGTCTGTAGCCCATGAGCTTATACCCATGATGTAAGGAATAGAGAGTAATGTTTTCCAGGCTGAGATGCAGTGTTAACAAAGATTTTGGAACAAACTGCTCCTTTTCTAAAGGCACACTGCTTTTAACACTTGGGTATGCGTACCATCTCATAGCACTGAAATACTGTGCATCTCCACAGTTCAATATTAAACAGGGAACTGAAAATAAAAACTTATTTTTCAGGATAATCTACAGCTGTTAAATACTTCAGAATTTACACATTGTGTTCTAGAAATAACCAGTGAGAACTGTAACTGGTGTAATCTGGGCCAAAATTCCCATACTTGTTAGAAACCACTATGTTTTGAGCTACAGAAAGAGCTCATTCAGGGCCTGGTTCAAGGGACTGCATCATGTTGTTCTGGCTCATGAACAATGTTAAATGTTTAATCCAATGACAGGATTTTCAAGTAATTAGATTTAGGAAGAAGCTCACAGTATCTCTGAGGCCTCATATTGACTTGGTAACACCTCAACAAAATTTACTGCAGATTTAGATTCTGATAATAGTATCATAGTACCTTTGCACTAAAGCAAAACATTTTCAGCACGGAGTAGAAAAATAATTATTCACATTCTCAAAATGATTACTACCACACTGTCAGATGCCAAAGAGAGCAGCTGTTTGCAGAGAGTACCAGGAAAGCATTTCTAAAAAGCAAAGCACTACAGAAAAAAAGTGCTCATGGGTATCTCTCTTCCTTCATTAATTCTGTTTAGATTTTAGCAGCAGCTGACAAATATTATTCACTTCAGTGATAACACTCACAGAATCCCGTAGGTTGGAAGGCACCTCTTGAAATCACCTAGTGCAATCCCTCTGCTGAAGGACTGTCAGCTAAAACATGTTGCCCAGGACCCTATCTAGTTGAGTTTTGAGTATCTCCACAGGCAAGACTCCATAACCTCTCTGGGCAATCTGTTCCAGTGCTTGACCATCCTCACAGTAAAAAAGTTTTTTCTTGTGTTTTTCATGTGTATATCCTTTACTTAAAGTTCATCACTGTAATAGCCCAAGACAGCTCAGCATTACTGGAAATGTTACAAAAATGAATGTTTCAATGTCCTGGCATGTTCATAACTATATAGATATCCCTCATTACATCACAACTCATTCAGGTTCTCTTTTAGTTTCATCTGTTGTAAGACTTATTTCTTACAATGCTTTTATACAATTCTAAGTTTTGCTAACGACCATGTTTTTCACTGCTTTAAACTCTATGCAATCTCTTGTTAAAGAAAAATATAACTGGTGTGATAACAGATGTTTAATTTTATGCCCTTTCATGCTGTCTGAACAAGTGGAAAGAGCTACAGAAGATGAGAAACAATACAGTTTCAGGTGTAATCTTTTCAAACCCATTTCTTTCCAGTAGAAAGATAGCTGCACAGGATTAACGGTTGCATTGTTAATTATAAGAAAACAAGTAGGTTGAGGCATCCCACTTCTAAGCTTAAATCACATCTACAGTTTCTCAACAAAATATTTGCTAAAGACCTGCAAGCCTTGCCTAAAGGCATAAGGCTTTACAGATGTATTAACTGGGCATTTCTAAACCAATGACGCAAGCATTATTTAACATATATAATTAAAATAAATCAGTATTAACAGTGAAGACTGTAATCTCATAATGTACAGATTAACCCTTTACTTTAAGGTTCACAGTATGAAGCAAGGTATTTGTTCTCTCTTCTGGCTGCAAATATCCCAACTTGACAATCGAAAATGAAGCCGATATTTACATCCGATTTACAAACGTCAAAGTAAGTTAATAGCAAGTGTGGACCTGGAACTTGCTGACAACAAAGGAATCAGTCTTTAATATTATAGTTGCGGATTTTTGCCATGTTAGAAGAGATTTTTGGTTTTATGGGACGAGCACAAGATAAATTCCTACATTTTAACTTCTGCTGAACTTCCAGCCTGGTTCCTCTGACTGTCAAATCTGCAGCCGGCATTTCAAGTTTATCCTTGGCTTTGATATTTTGCTGAGATTCCTCAGATTGCTCAGTTGAACGTATAACTTCAAACTCCACTGCTCAAAACATGAAAGAAAAATACTTTTTAGTTATATTTGTATTTAATTATGAGACTGGATAGTTGAAGAGAACTGGTTTACTCTTTTTCTCTAAATATACTGCTGCCATAGTGCCACATTGTCCAAGTCTTACATTGAGTGAGTTAACAGAACCATTTCTGTACATAAGAGGCACAGAATTGTCCATTAAGGCTTGCTACGCTGATGGTGTAATATATCAGCATCTCCTGCTCAATCTGTACCTGTTCATTCTCCATGAGCATCAGACTGCTTAAGAGAGGAGGAAGGAAGACAGCTGAATGGTTGGTGTAACTGTTCATGTTAAGCACTACCTATCTGTTCAGCTGTTTTTAAACATCACATTTTACAAGTCTACCCTTCTTTCCATTGTGAGAGAGCATCTGTATCAATCAAGGCAATACCAACACACCGGACAATACAATACGAAATCAGACCTACCTGTTCCCGTATTCCTACCTGTTCCCATATTGTAAAATGGTGATAAAGTAGTTGGCTGCAATAGTTTGATCTGTTTCAAGAAATCACCAGCAGCCAGAAATGCTGCAGCAAAATGTGTTTGGATATGCATGATCCAAAGGGCTCGAAGAAAATTCTGTGTGCTTGACAAAGCTGCACTTTTACCATTATCTTTTGGGGGTTTTTTTGTTGTTTTTTTTTTTTTTCATCTTCTCTCACAGAGGAAGGCATTTACTGTGGAAATATTTGTTTTCGTTGTCTAAAATATCTGTATGTACTAGAGAGGACTAATTTAAAAAGTAACACCTTTGGTTGGGAAGCAGGGAGTCCTAATGCCAATGGGGAGTCCATTCTGCAGCCTCTCATGTAATTCCCTGAAAACTAGTATCTCTAACTGAACTTTAGTCTTATCACAGGTTTCATCAGGTAAGATAAGTGGAACACAAGCACAGTATTCACAGTAAGCTTGGCTCCAGCCACTTACTCCTTATTTTTCAAGGCACTGAGATTTTAACTTTAAATTTTCTATGGAGAGCCAAAGCAGACAGCAGAAATAGTCATAATATACTTGCAATAACACACACTACAGCATTCTGTACTAATTCAATTTTTGAGCATGACAGGCTTCAGTCCCAGGTATCATTCCACCACAGGGCAAGAACAGGAGGTGCACAAACTGACGAAGGTAAAGTATTAGTAGGATGAGGTACATTTTCATAGTCAACAGAGCACGGTAGAAAGTCCAAACAAAATTCTACATGGAAGGAAATAAAAAAATATTCTTGAATTATGGAATGAATTAATCTATTGAGGGTTTATAGCTTTATGCAAAGCATGACACACTGGCTAGTGTCATAACATGACACTTTTCAAGATAATTTTCATGTTCAGGCTTAGCTTGAACCAGCTGTTCAATCATGCAAGCTCATGTGTGTGCAATCTCTGCACTGAGTCAGCTTGGTGGCATTTGTTATTGCAGGCGGCAAAACCTCAGCAGACTCTTGTGCTATTGATGCGAAATCATGTTGTTCAGCTTGCCACCTAGTGGTTACCTACAGATGTAGAAGAGATGAAAGAGGATGCCTGAGCCTATGGAAGACCTTTGGGTGTATTTTCCTGCCTGGAAAAAGGATTTTAATCATTATACTGCATTACCCTAGACCTCGACCATACCTGGCAGATAATAAAGCAGAATTTCACAACATCAACAGTTTAGTACAGTGTAGGCAGCAGTGTCTGAAAGGTACTGGATACAGCTTCAAAGATTATTTTGCTTGAACAGGAGCCACAGCAGAATGAGATTACCTTGTTTGTGGTCTAAATAACAGCAATGAGTAGATCCAGAAATAGCACACAATCAACACTGCTTACAGACATTCTGTTTTTTGAAATACTTCCTCAGTTTTGATGGGGGTCTTTTGTATTCAACCAAGGGGATGACTTTCAGAAATAATGTGGTAGACTCTAATCCTGTAGATTCAAATGTAAAGTAATCAAGCACCAGTGCATCACATGCATCCCTTCCTCTGAAATCTTCTGTATGCTTGTCTCTTGACATTAGCAGAGACACTACAGTTATAACTAGTAAAGGCTACTTGGTTAGGTGTTTGGAACAACAGCACAGAACACAAGCATTCTATCTGGATATTGTAAAGTTCTGGACTGTCAAAAATCCATGTTATGACATGACAGCAATTTAAAACTATGAAATTGCAAACTTTTAAGGTTAGTTCTACAAAATAGAAAAACATAAAAAAACCAATACCCCAGAATTAGAAATGCTATTTAAAGTGAAATATCCTAAGAGAACACTGAATAAGGACTTTCATATGTTACTGGGTCTGCTTGCGACTGTGGACATGTGTGAAGGACCTTGAATGAAATCAGCATGCCTATGCGCTGTGCAGTCAAACTTAAATACAGTAGCTTGACTTTCACAATCAATGAAAAAGCACACCTAATTTACAAGCCTGTAACTTACTTTCAGAAGTGACCTTGGCAACAAGAGCTAGTAAGATCATAGTTAAGAGTGTAAATTGCTTTTGAAAATGGACCTAAATGTTCAGTGTATTGAAACGCTTTACCTATCTTCTATTTCATGTGTATTAACTACAGTCAGAAATTAATATTCAGAGATTTTTTTTTTTTTCAGAACTAAAGACATACAGGTGCACATATTGTATGAGCAAACTGAAATTTCCTCAGACATAAAATTTCATTTAAGAAACGTGTGACTAGATATTTGTTTGTGGCTAACAGTGAAGGAACATCAAGAAGTTCCTATTCAGAAGAAGAACATTTAAGTGAAAAAAAAGTAACTAAAGGATTAGTTAATATTTGTGAAACATTTCAAAGATGAAGTTTTATGTAACACGGAAAATAAATCATGGGTCTTTCTCTGATTGGAGCCGGAATGAAGCCAGAACCAGAGCACTCTCTGTTGGTTAATATTTTACCAGATTCTTTTTCTGGCCAGCTTTTTACCCACATGGATTGCTCTTAGAACTGTCAGTGATGTCAAAGCTGTTGAAATTCTGTCTAGTGTGGAAACACTTAAGATAACTTTTGATCCATAAAGTGTAGAATTTCAGACCACAGAGCTTTGCAAGTCACAGTAACAATGGGAATTATAGTAAAAGAAACTCCCCTGTCCAAGTTCAAGTAGTAAACCAGAAAAGTTACTTTACTTCAAAGCAACTCAATCCTGTTCTTTGTTAGGCTACAATGTAAACTGAAATTAATACGCCCAGGACACAGTTCTGACTATCTGTGGAGGTGGGATTTCTTAAAATCTACAGTAGAACCAGCCACCACAACCAGAGCCCTCCTCTGGCATGGAAAATACAAAGTTTCATCTACCCCAAAAGCGTATAAAACAAGTGACTAGTGAGGACATTCTAAGTGCAGATATAGCTTGCCTTACGCTCTGATTTCCTCTGCACTGACCCCAGCCTCTTTTGACCCAAGGAGATACAGCTGATCAGGACCTTTTCACATGGTACCACAAAGCACCCTTCACAGTACAGGCTTCACTCTAAATGCAGTCTTACAGTCAAACTTTACAGGTGATGTTTGCCTGTCTTTCCAGAAAAAAACCCCAAACCCCAAACTAGTAAGTGGCTCCAATAGCAAGTAAAAACTTTACTAAGCTAAGTTACTTGAAGAAAAATAAATTCCAGTTTTCTAAATGTTTTACAAAGCTTCCCCTCCTCCTGCCTAACATTTATTCTAAGATAAAAAAAAGGCCCTATAGCACATAGGTGAATAGAGAAACCTTGCAGCATGTACAGAAGCTAATCACACGGTTGTACACATGATTTTCAGAGGAAGGCATACCACTCTTCTGACAAGCAACTTTCCTTTGAGGATGGTCTGCCATCAGTATTCAAGATGCATATGGTATGGATCACCAACCCACATCTCCCACCTGCTTTCAATCTCTGAGATAGGGCATTTAAAAAGGAAAGAAATACAGAAGTGTATTTCTTACTAGTACAGTCTATGTACATAACACTGATGTTTTTAATGTCATGGCTTGTACTTGTCTACTTCTGTAGCAGGGTCTTTTTCTTTCAATAATACAGAACAATAAAAACACCAGAACAAGGAACCTGTGTTCCTTCTAAATAATTTATTTCTGCTTATCTGCAGAATTAACATACAACTTATCAAATCCATCTCATCTCATTCCTACAGTACAAATTAAAAATCAGCAGGCAGAGTACGGAGAGAGAAAATTAAAGTATCTCATAGCCTTCTTACTTGCTTGAAAGCTTCCACCAGTTCTGAATTCAATGGTGAAATGAATAAGGTATATAACAGTCCACTTCAGTAATTCAGTGTTAACACATAGGCATAAACACTCCAAAACACATGAGTCACTGAATCTTGTCACATGCTGGAAATATGGCAAATTGGAGGGCTTACTTGACATGCCAACCATTTTAAGTCCCAATAGGTTATTTTGTACATGAAAAAAATTAATTAAGTTGTTAAACTGGTTCAGAAAATCATTTGCACACTACAATTGTTTCTATTTCACCAGAAATGCCCATAAAACACACCTAGTAGTGTGATAGATTTGTATAGAGTTGAACATGTAAAAGAAACGTTTGAATAAGCAAACTAACTTGCTTGCTTTGTTTCAAGTATTTTTTTCTTACTGAGCTTCCAAGTGTGTGTGTCACTTGAAACTGAAAGCCCAGTACCAAGTCACTCCTGTCTTAATGATGGTTCTACCCACTGTAACCATGTGTTTGATTAATGTATTAAATTCAAATGAGTGGTTATAAACAGGAAAGATTATTTTTTAAAATTAATTTTCCATAGCTCATGTATGAAAAATAATGCAAGCTTCTGCTAAAATTCAGATGCAGAACTCCTTGAAAATTTTGTATATTCTGCTCTGAGGTGACATTCTTCCAAAAACGAAAGATTTTGCTTTCACAATCTTGTTTTCTGAAATGCAGAATTCAGTCTAGTAGAATTAAGGATACCATTTGGATGGTTTCCTGGAGAAGAAAGCTAAGCAACATAAAAGAATATTTAAGTCATGTTCTTGTAATGCAGTATTTCAGGGCCTGCATGCTTGAGTAAGAAGCTCTGCTCAGGTGTTCTTAGGGTAAATCTGGATGCAGAGATTAAGTTAAGGTTGTTCTCAGGAAAATATCACCCCTTATTGATATTTCATTTGTTTCATGTTGGCAGTATCATCTTTCCCTTTCACTGTTCTCTAGATCTCAAAAAATCTACAGTAAGTTTTGCAATGGTGGCTGGAAATTTCTAGACGTTAAGAAACTGATGTCCTTGTAAGGCTGCCAGTAGTGTTGCATCATGCATACAGCAGCATGAAACTGCACGGCACTATCAGTAATGTTTCAAAGACATCCTTCTGCTTACCCTGTCAATATAGGCCTGACCTGAAATACTCTCCCTGTTTCAGTTCCAGCCCCACAAAAAAAAGCACATGAATCATGACTGTCAGCACTATGTCCATTCCAGACCTACAGTCTGTCATTGCAGATTACTTTGTCCCTGCAATGCACTGCTGTTGTGAATAAATACACTTATAATCCATTCTTCATTTTGAAAACCCTTTTAAGTATTTTTTTTCTTGTATGCTGCTAGAGATGATTCATTGCATCTATACACTGGTTTAAAAATAGATGCAATGTAGGTTGGAAAGGACCTCCGGGTGAAATGTCACAGTGCTTATCACTCCACACAACTTGTGTCCACTGTCTTTTTTTCCACTTGTGCACCTCTAAGAGTCTGGCTCTGTCTTCTCCAGAATCCTTCACTGGATAGTTAAAAAGCATGCAATCCGAACACACATTAACACTTTCTTTTCCACACTGAACAATCCAGCTCTCTAAACCTCTTCTCGTGTAACAAGTGTTCCAGCATCCTGGCCTTCTTAGTGGCTCTCCATTGGACTCTAGTTTTCAATCCTTTGTACCAGAGGGTTCAAGACTGGACACAGTACTCCAGATGTGGCCTCACAAGTACCAAACAGAGGGGAACAAATCACTGCCTGTAACCCACTGGTTGCATTCTTGCTCCCGCAGTCTGGTATGTGGTTAATGGCACACAAGTATCTATGTAATGGCAACAGGTCACTATTAATATAAAGCCCATTTGAAAAGGTTAAACGGCTGTCATATTACTCCACAGCTGCCATCAGATCTCAGGAATAATGATGATGATAAATATCAAAACCAAAAAACCCAGCAACCCACACAAGCCCCACAGCACTGTAAGAAATAATTTATTGAATGCTATGCCTCTTATTAAAAAATAAAAATCACCTTTACTTGGAACATTCTGGAGAAATGTTTGTCTGTCTATTTATAAAGACCTACAATCCTTTTGGGGAACATACACCACTACTAGCTATCTTTAAAGTTTTTCCAGTATTATAATTTAAGGCCATTACTTTTTGTCCCATCCACAGTGCGTGTTAGAAGAGTTTTCCAAAGTTTTGCCAGTGCAGGATTACTTCATGAACAGGCCAAGAGTTTGGGAGACATAACATTCATCTGCAATACACTGCTCAACATAATGGCTACCATTAAAAAGTTCCTTTACAATTTGCCTGTGAAGAGGCTACACTTCATTGCACATACCTTACAAATGGTGCTCCTGCTAAAATTTCCAAGAACGTGTGGTGCTTTTTGTAGAAGTATAACATTGATTAATGTTCAGTAGATGACCTAGGTTTTACTTTCTCCTCTCATCCTAACCCTGACACTGTCTGACATAGAAGGTCAGGATGCTGTCTCACATATAAGAATTTGTGTTTGCTTTTATTTCTTTATATTCCAACTTGTTGCACTGGACTAAAAAATTCCAGTGAATAACAATACCTAGGTACACTCTGTGCCCACAGCATATACCACTTTACACTCATTATCTCACTTTTGGCCTTTAGGTCTTACCACACTAAGTAGTACTGTACTGGCTATTAACCTGCCACAAAAATAATGATTAAGCAAAGATTTGCCAAATTACAATTTGATCTAACAGCCACCTGGCAATAGATGAAGCATGCAATTCTCAGACAAGACACTTTCATATCTCCTCCAGATAAGGTTTAGACTATGTCAAAACAGAAGGGTATTTGAATTTTCTAGGAGTAAAAGGGGAGAAGTATTTGCAACAATGGCATTAAAACCAGAGCGCTATATACACACTCCTCTTAATTCTTACTTCTGCTAGCAAAAGTGAAATTCCCTTCTAAGTAACTAAGTAGATCTTCAGATTCTGATTACAGGACTGTAACAAAAGTAGCAATCACGTAAAAAAATTAGTGGAAGGGGGCAGAATCCACTACTGTACTTCTGTTCTAGAAAAGCAAAATACTGTGACTACTTTACAAAGCATGCTTACTTACCTTGGTCAGTGTTCTTTTGAGAACTGAAAATCGAACGGCTTGATCCCGTTTCTAAAGTTTGCCAAATACCTTGGCAGAAATCATGCCCTCTAGATGAAGAAAACCGGACCTGCTGGGCTTGACTAGGACTCTGCCGGAGTGGAACAATCTTCATGGGTGTATCTGCCTTTTGTTGCTTTGGCCCATGATTTTCAATAGAGAAATCTAGCTGAACCTGTTCAAATTCAAACACAATCTTACAGAGGTATATACTTTTCACACCAAAGACATCTGAAAATTGGTTAAATCTTATAGTGGCATCTTGGTCTTGTAAAGCTTAGAAGGTTTCAGCAAGAGGCAAGACAAAATAAAATTATTATTTTTAATTTTGAAAGGTGGTACAAGAAGATTATTTAAAACTTTGTGAAAGTGATTGAGAAACCCTAGTTTATTAAGTGTTAAAAATTACTATTTTGTACAGGAACAATGCATAACTTAAAAAAAAACCCTATACATGTTTTTTTAAGTCTTCCAGGAGATGACTGTTGAGCAGCTGCAATTGAAATATCCAACTGAAGGCAAATCACATTGATGATAAAACTGCACTGTACCTCAGTGGATGGTAATTCTGTTTCTTCCTCACAGCTGCTTGGAGCTTCTTTCTTTAAGCTAGGGCAGGTAGTTAGAGAAGAGATCCTTGAGGGATGCTGTTGCTTTGCATACTGCAGCTCCTAATATAAAATATTACATTAATACAAATTACTCATGGTCTATACAAATAACACATTTAATAGCTCAGTTTGCTGTTACACTGCTAGAGTTAAAATAATCACTAATTTATTAAACAAAATTATGTTCCCTTCAGATAACAGGGCCAAACTACCCTCCTAATAAACCTCTTACTAGATCTGTTAAAAATCTACACGTCTTGCTGCTGTTAGTATGATCCTGCTTGCTACTGAAGTTTATATTGTTAGAGTCATTCTTCAATTTTGTCTTTTCCAACAATTAAATTACAGAAGAAAAACTCCCAAAGAATTCCTAAAAAACCTCATAAAATAAAGCAGCTAAGGAAATGTAATTTGTCAGCAACTAAAAAAACCTAATTATCCCACAAAGTTTCACCAACTTTTAACATGCAGCAATTAAAGTGAGATTTGATTAAAAGCAAAATACTTCAGCTCTGTCAAAGGAGACAAAAATAAACATCAACGTCTTTTGCTATATATTTAAGACTAAAGAAACAAAGCATGAGCCCATCATATAAAGTAACTGACACTGAAATTCCTGTAGGTATGATAGTAATAAATTCTCTCGGTTTTTGCTAAAGATTATGATCTTGAACACAGGAGCAAATGTAGCCTGGCTAGTAAGAGTGACGACCTAGAAGAAAAACTAGAATAGCGTGTTTGGAAGCTCAACCTGTAGCTCAGCTTCAGTGCAGAAGCTGAAGCCTCAGCAGTATGTTCTGGGTAATGAGCAGCCTGGAATGAGACTACTGAAGGCAAACAGCTTGGATATAAAAAGGGCAATCCTTCTTTCTAGTTTGGACAATTTCCAGCAGTAACAGAGATGATGCCAAAGGTTCCAGGGCTGGAAAGATCCTCAATGACAGCCACTTCAACCATGACCTCCAAGCAACCTGTGAGCTAAAGAGGTTGGACTACTACTCCTGCAGTTTAGCGCACCATCTGGAAACTCACAGTCAAATGCTACATCTCCAAGAGCCATGCATTTTTAAAATCTATTTATTCTTACACAAGCAAGAACAATCTTTAGTGATTCTAAAAAGAACATGGGAGATATGAGATGTCAGAAAAATAGCAAACACAGTACCTAGCTCATTAAAAAATAAGGCAGAAGACTGGGATGGATGGGCAATGAATATTCACTGGTCTCAACTTAGGAGCTAAGGTCTAAGACAAATTGTGAAACAAAGAAAAATTACAGAGGTGGAAAAGACAAAAAAAAGAAGTAAAAAAATGTGTCTCTGAATTGTGGCAATTTTGCCCAGATCTGAAAATCACTTTTACATGTTTAGTATAACCATTTAGGTAATACATTTCTGAACTCGATTCAAGCAGTGCACAGATGAAACAAGCAGGCTACAAAAGGTCTACTCAAATGCTTTCCTGGACACTAATCTCATTTGTAAAAATTACTCCTGGTGTTAACAGTTTAAGAGTTTAAGAAATAGTTAACTGAATAGGAAGTTCAAGTGAACAGAAGAAGCCAAGCTTGTGACTTGCAGTTACTAAGATGTTCACAAGCATCCTGAACAAATTTTATATCCACAATTACGCTGAGGCATTCCACAGTAAGCTCACCTGTTATCTGACCACTTTCCAGGCTTTCTGGACAGTTTAACAGCTGACTCACCTATTTCCTTCTGAAATTGCATAAGAGAGAGATCAGAATCATGCTCAGGACTGGAGAACAAGTCTTACAAGGAGCGGCTGAGGGAAGTGGGATTGTTTAGTCTGGAGAAGAGGAAGCTGAGGGGAGACCTTCTTGCTCCCTACAAATATCTGAAAGGAAGCTGTAGAGAGGTGGGAATTAGTCTCTTCTCCCAGGTAACAAGCGACAGAATGAGAGGAAATGTCCTCAAGTTGTGCCAGGGGAGGTTTAGATTGGATGTGAGGAAAAACTTCTTCACCAAAAGTGTAGTCAAGCATTGGAACAGCCTGCCCAGGGAGGTGGTGGAGTCACCTTCCCTGGTGGTATTTAAAAGATGAGTAGACAAGGTGCTTAGGGACATGGTTTAGAGGTGGAATTGGTAGTGTTTGGTTTATGGTTGGACTTGAAGAGCTTAGAGCATTAAACATAAGAGGAGAGGCTGGGGAAGCTGGCCTTGTTTAGGGTCCAGAAGACATAGGTCAGGAGTGATCTCTTCAACATGTATAAGCACCTGATGGGGATGGTGGGAGGAGGTAAAGACGACTGAGTCAGACTCTTCTCAGTGGTATACAGTGGAAGAATGAGAGGCAATGGGCAGAAAGTGAAGTATAGGACACTCTGCTTAAGCACAAGGGGGAAAAAAAAACCCCAAACACCAACCTTCTTTACTAGGAGGGTGATCAAACACTGGAACAAGTTGCCCACAGAGGTTCTCAGAGGAAGTATTTCTCCAACTGAACTTGGTTAATAATTCTACTGGAGTTTTATACCTCGGAGCAACAACCTCACCCTTTCTGAAATAACACTGTTTACTGCCCTCAAAACTACAATGACAATCAACTGCTCTGACTCAATCCTCACAGGAACAAATCTGCTGATCAATTAAGTAAAGTACATAGTGAAATCCTGACTGTTGAAGTCATTGGGATGTCTGCCACTAACTACTAGAGGAGCCAGGATTTATACATTTGTCTCTGTCATGAAAGCTGCAATTTAACTGTTAGAAGTTGTATTTTAATTACAAAATCTAAGATTTGAGTTAATGATATATCTTGCTTTTGTATATGGAAAATGTGCTATTACAATAATTTGGACAAGGGTGCTGTAAAATCCCACCGCTGTGGATATTTGGAAATATGCTCACTGATTAATCATTTTCAAGTTTATCTTAGAACATACTGCAAATCCTTCAAATGACCTATCTTATTTAAAACTAAGCTTTATGTAATTCAGGACTGCGTTTATGCTGCATTAACACAAGTGTTTCTGCAATTCCTGAGATGAAAATCATGTTATAAAAAGTTAATTTTGACGTCCCAATATAACTCTTTAAGTAAACAGAGTGACATCTAGCTGGCAGCCAGTCACTACTGGTGTTCCCCAGGGCTTGATTTTAGGGCCAGTTCTCTTCAATGTTTTCCTCAATGACTTGGACACAGGCGTTGAGTGCACACCAAGTAAGTTTGTCGATGATAGTAAATTAGGAGGACTCACTGATTCCTTTGAGGGTAGAGAGACCTTATAGAGACATCTCGATAGATTGGAGTCCTTGGCAATCACTGTGTGGAATTTAAAAAGCAAATGCTGGATTCTGCATCTGGGACAGTGTAATCCTGGATGTCTATATAGACTGGGGGACAAAAGGCTGGACCATAGCCCTGCAGAAAGGGATCTGGGGGTTTTGGTGGCCAAAAGGGCCAACTGTATCCAGGGATGCATTAGGCACAGCATAGCTAACCAGCCAAAATGAGTGATTGTCCCACTATACTCGGCACTGGTGTGGCCTCACCTAGAGTACTGTGTGCAGTTTTAGGCTTCACAATATCAGAAGGATATAGAAATATTAGAATGTGTCCATCGGACGGCAACAAAGATGGTGAAAGGACTAGAGGGCAAGACTTAGGAGGATATTTGGCTTGTTCAGCTTAGAAAAGAGGAGACTGAGAGATGACCTCATTGCTATCTACAACTTCCTCACTGAGGGGGAGCAGAGGGTAAGGTGCTGATCTTTTTGGAGTTCGGTGACAGGATGTGAGGGAATGGCTTAAAGCTGCATCGGGGGAAGTTCAGACTGGGTATGAGAAAGAAGTTCTTCCCTGAGAGGGTGGTAAAGCACTGGAACAAGCTCCCCACAGAGTGATCATGGCGTCAAGATTGTTGGTGTTCAAAAAGCATTTGGACAACGCTGTTGGATACATGGTTTAAATTCTAGGTTTCCCGGTGTGGAGTCAGGACGTGAAGATGCTCATGGGTCCCTTTCAGCCCAGGATATTCTGTGATTCTAAGAAATCTTCCAAGGTACTAAAGGAAGACGCAAGCTCAAGTTAGAATAAGACATTTAAATGCTGAAATTTAAGGGAAGTTATATTCATGGAATTAGAACTGGTTTAACTATTCATTTTCACTAGATTTCAGAGAGCATATAATTACCTGTGTTGTAAGCCTGTGCTGTAGACGCTTTAAAGCTGCTAGCTGACACTGTGTTCTTTTGACAAGCTCTCTTGGAAAAAGACTACCAGAGGCAATACAAACTGTGCAGCGCTTAGAGCTAACAGGATGCCAAAGTCCTATAAAGGAGATAAAATATGGATGGTTATTTTGTCATCAATATTACATTCCCAGCAAATGTTTGCCGTGGATATAAATGAACCACAGAACGCAGGCCTTCTCACTGCAGATAGATTCAGTGCTATGTGGAAATGAGCCTTGTGTTTTTTCATTTCATTCATTGCCGGAGCAACTGTTGCATGAAACTTAAATGTCCACAGTGACATCTTCTTATGTATTATATATACTCAATTCAAGTTTACTCTATATTAAGCTTATTCTGTTTTCCACTTTCACAAAGCATTAATTTTCAATTCAAGAGAGAACCTGCATCTTTTCTGCTCTTAAAAGAAGTCTTAATTCAATTTCCAGTTCCCACACTGACATCTAAGCACCAGAGTCCTTCATCTAAGGTGTTCATCAACAAAAATTTACTGCCTACAGACTCTCATTGTTCTATGTTAGTACCTCTTATTACAGGATAATCTTACTTGCAAGAATTAGCACTGCAGTCTCACATGAACTATGCAGATCAAGAATCAATCAGGTGCAGCACTTTGTTTTCATAGGAAAGCCTAGCTATCTCCAGCTCAAAGGGTTCCTGTTTTAGTCTAAATATATGTTAGCACTCTTCTGTAGAATAAATTTACCTTCCTTTAATACCATTCCGACTTCTGCCCTGAGTCTGTTTCCCATTTCAATCAGCTGCTGCTTCTCTTGGTTCAGAATTGAGATTTTCCTTGCTGCTTCCTTCAGTTTATTTTGCATTCCTTGTAGAGTGCAGCTGACACCATATTGAAGGCCAACACCAGGACCTACATCAGGTAACTGTTGTCCAAGATCTACCATCTTTTCTTCAAGAACTTTGGGTTTTGGCTCCTGAAAAAAAACCCGTAGTGCTTACAAATGAGTATTTTTAAAGTGTGGTCTGCAGGTTTAGAGATTTGTACAAACGTTAGAAGCCATTTGAAGAAAAAGTGTAAAGTTGAGGTCTCAAGCCCATTTCTGAGGGTCCATTTTCAAGATTTTCTTAGCAATATAGGGCAAATTAAACTGTGGAGCAAAACACAGCAACAGCCTGGAATGTTCCCACAAATATTGTTAATTGTAACTGTAAAATAATACACATAGGATAGACACTATAACTGCAAACTAGAGAGCAGTTAATTTTAAGATAAAAAGTTGAAAAAAACACACTTTATAGCAGACAGCAAGCTACCACAAACCCTTCTTTGTGTAATCATTGCGTACGTACACACAATTGGGGAAGATAATGACTTAAAATGTTGTTTTAAAGAGAAAGGCTGCAGAGTGAAAAGTAAAGACTCTACAATCAGTTTTGTCTCTGCACACTAATTGAGTCCGCTCGCACGTATACATTATGATAAAGTATTTACCCAAAAGATCCCATCCTTGTTTTTCTCTTCGAAGTCCAGCAGTGACACTATTTCATCTCTGTTCACCTTATCACAAAGCACATTACAAGTTTTTTGGTATTTAAAAAAAGGCTAAAATATGGATTTACAATGCAAAACCTGAAGAGGCGATGCACAATAGTTTAAGAACTTTCAAGTGGAAAAAAAAAAAATCAAGAAGGGCTTGAAAGATCAGGAGTGATGTGTACCAGGGAATGACTAGTCAGAACTTATTCCCCAAAAAGACTGACCATAACTTTGGCTGAAAAAATCATTGCTGGTTCTCATCTAACTTACACTCATTACTAACTGACCACACAAGCATACATTGCTTCAGTTTTCAATATTTATTCAAACAAAATTAATATGCTATATATTTAATTACACACACATGTGCATACAGATATTTTAGGTAGTTCAAGCCTCTTCATACCTTTTCTGTGTCTGGGTATACTATACCCAAGTTAGTTGAGCTGACTTTGATATTGCTCAAAGTGGTTCCAGCTGAAATTTTGTTTGTGCACAATGAACCTGAAAGAGGGGTAGAATATGAATGTATATGTACTTATCCAGAGTTTAGGTTTTCATAGCAACAGCTGCTTCAGAACTTTGTCTCACTAATATACATGTATACCACTACTTCAGTAGATATACTGTAAACAGAGCTGAAGAAATATAAAAAATAGTACAGTCTCACAATACGCAAACATCAGTCAGCTACAAAATACAGCAGTGACTAGACATGACATATTTAGAAGGGTCAGTCTGTGGGTAAGGAGAAGTTTTATTTCTTCCAATATTGCATTATTTGATCACTATAGGGAAACAGGGAATACTGAATCTAACAAGAATAATTAAGACATAGTAGCTTCTTTCAATCACAGCTGAAAAAAACATGACCAATAAATGGAAGTTAAACCTGAAAAAATATTCTTTTAGTTCCAGCATAAATGTGAGTCTGAACATATTGATATATATGGAAAAGTCAGGGAAAAGATCAGATGACTTTCCGGAAATAAGAAGTGCCCCTCCAAGTTAACTCTCAAATTGTCTTAAAAATTTCAGATTTAACATTATCATCTCCTTCAGTGATTGGATATAGTCTCCACACATTTTAAAAAGGGATTAAGAAATATTATTTTAGTTGAATGAAGTATTTCAGCCATAAAGAAAACTGAAATACATTTCGGAAAACTTACATTTATCAGCTGACCAAGATTATTGCTTCTTTAATAATACTAATAACAGTTTTGTAGTAATTTGTACTAAAGAAATTCTCAGAATCTCAGACCTCTGTCTGCTTGTGTACTGTGGAATCCTGAGAACCCCACAGTCACAATCTTCACACACCCGAGGGTTGAGTAGCCCTCATACATTGTGACCATGACCACTACACTTCCTTAACTGAATTTAGTTCTGTGGTGAGAGTTGTCACCTTGCTCTGCAAGCGGTCTGTTTTCTGTCAGAGGAAGAGAGGAAAATATCTGCTCATCAAGGCTCTCCATTTCTTTCCTCATTTGTGCAATAGCAGCCCGAAGGTTGGCATTCTCCTCCTGCAGCTTTTTTATTTTCAAGGTAGGAGTATCACTGCGCAGAGAACTATCATCATACTGACATATCTGTAAAATAAAAGTACAACACAGTAACGACGCTTCATTAATGAGCAACACATTCTCTCCATAACACCACACACAGAGATCCTAATACTTTCAATCCATGAACAGACTTGGGAGAGAAGAACCATAGGAAGAAAAGAAAGAGATCTGGTTATTCTGGGGATTTGCCAGGGAAAAAAGTGCTATGATGAGAACCTGAGATGGAGGAGAAGGCACAGATGGGGAGCAGGATGGCTACAGAGGTGGCTCTGTCTTATCACTGTTGTTCTTGGAAGTGTGCTATCTCTCTCTGTTCCATGCATAGGTAAACCATCTCCTTAAAGAACTTACTGGCTCAACAGCAGTCCCCTTTCTGACCTGCCAAATTCTTGAAAGTGTCATTGAAGATCATTTCTTCAAAAGAACATAAAGAGGCTGGACATCCTTTGCTAAAGTGGAAAAGAGTAACGAGTGTATGGATTACACCTAGACAATGTGGACAATGGACAACATCTAGAAAACCTCTAAGCACTTCCAATTCTAAAACAAGTAGCAATGTCTTCCTTTTGGGCATTAGTTACAGATAAGCTAACAGTGAACAATGTAAAAGGAACATTTGTCAGAAGTTTCTGCCTTCACAAGGGCCTTGAAGCCTGAGTTTTGGAATTATATGTGGTGGAAGTATGAAATGATAAGCAAGTGTCACTCTGTATTACAGAGTTCCAAAACTGAAAAGGCTGACAAAACCCAGGTTTTGTCACCCTCATGGAGTCTCAGACCGATCTGAAGAAAGGACCTGTATGCTGCAGGTACTGTACTAGTCTTGCCAACAACATTAACAGTTACAGTGGAAGACAACAGTGAATGTGAACAGTAAAAGAACTCCTTCCTAACTCTGATTCTCTTGGTATGTGAATGATCAGTTTGCAAATCAGTCCAGTTTGAAATGAAATTGTAGCAGTCTACTTTTGTCTAATTTAATATAATTTTTTTTTTCAGGAATTATCTTTCTGAATACACCACACTGCATTCAGAAAACGCTAGGCTTGCTTACCAATGCGCTTTTTCTCATCAGCAATCTCTGATAATACACTCTGAACTGCTCACTGTTGAGCATCTGTAGCTGCCCAGTAGGGTGCACTGCAGCACACTGTTTACTTTCATTCTTTTCCAAGAAAAGTTTCTACTCATAATGCATTATCCTTCAGCACGGCTTCAAATCAGTGTGACATTTGCAATTTTGACTGGCTTTTTAAAATATATGTATTTTAATAAATAGCAATGAAAGAAAAAGTAGTTTGTGATACTAAAATATAAGACATTATTTTAAACAGCTGGAAAATTAGCATTTTGAAGCATTGCTTTAAAATTCTAACTTTAAAACTTTAAAACCTGCCCTGAATTGCACCTAACAGAGCCTCAGGTACATTCCAGAAATTAATTCTTCCCATTCTGATGTGCCATGATGGTACAGTACACTGTCCTGTTTTGGAGCAACTATCTACATCCAGCTTGCTCCTTTTGCCAGTGAGTAATGGATAGGAGCCATAGTGAAGCCTGTGACACCTAATCTATCTGTATTCCAGGCTAGATGTGTCTATATTTTGAATTAAACATATGAAACAGATGAACTGCTTTCATGAAGTCCAGTGGAAACAAGCCTGGTAAAGTTGTCATCTCAGAATGAATTCATCCAAGTTAAAACATTAAGTCTTGTCTAACCCGTTTCTCCCCTTCAGGTAAAATACTGTGATTAAACAATGCTTGTATTATCTGTTTTCTTTTAACAGTCAAAGCAGAAAGAACAGTTTTCACTTCATGCAACCTGTAGTCTGTTTTTTGTAGCGGAGCTTCAACGAAGGAAGGAAGGAAGGGAGGGAAAACAGAGGATGTCATCATCTCAAGGACAAAGGAAATGGAAAAGATATATTAAATCACAGGACAGGGACTTAAAGTATATCCCTTTTGGCTCTGTCAAAAACTGTCTTCACAGAAAAATAATTTGCCTCCACCACTGTCTCATCTTCTGTATGTGAAATGGACAATGTTGATTTATCTTTCAGGTTTTCCTATGCTACACCTATTGATGCTTATGATTCACTTTGAGAAGACAATGGTAAAATAAAACATTAGAGTAAATGCCTGCATTCTAAACTTTGTAAACAAGTGTTTACCCTGTACCCATGAATTTACTAGGCAACTGGTCATTGAGAATTACTGTTAGCCCATTGTGTAATAGTCTCCAAACATGTATTTCACTTTTCAGAAACAGAAGCTTGTACACTTCAGAAAATATATCCCCCCCCCCCCCCCCCCCCCCCCCAAAATAATCTGAGTTTTCCAGGATCAATATCGTTCCCTTGACAGAATGCAAGCTGTGCTGTGATATGCAACTCTTTTGGCCTGGGACTGCTCTAAGAAATAGGGATCTTTCCTCTTCTGCTACAATGCCAAGAGAAAAGCAGTGGCATCTCTCAAGCTGACTTGACTTCATTACAAGGGAGAAAAGACCACTATTAGAGGTTGTCCATGAAAATTAATCTGGTCTCTGATCAAATATCTTTGATGAACTGCTGTGCACAACAGAGAATTACTGTTTTACAGATTTATCAAAGAAGACCAAAGTCATGCCTCCCCTGAGAAACACCATGATGGAAAAACTCCATAGTACTCTATGCAACAGATGGTTCCTAAACAGTGTTAATTTGAAATTCTCACTTGCTCTCTTGCTGAAGATAGGCTTTGTGTTAGATCCTCTGATTTCTGATACCAATTACTTTCAGCATTCTCACAGAGCTGCTGCCAGTCCAGTTCTGCTTGCATTTTACTCTGTTCCAGAATCCATTCTTGTTCAGCTGCCAGAGACAATTGTTGTTTATACCTATGATATACAGAGCAAAGTTGTTGCTT